TTGGAAAGCTGGGGGAGAATATAGTTATGATGCTTGATTTTTGTTGAAAAACAACAGAAAAAAAATAAAACAAATTTTTATGGCATTTTTGTTTAGATTTGAAAAACTAGCAAAACCAATTGTGATTATTCATGCAATTGATAATAGAAAATTGTGACACATATGGATTTGTAATTTATAGCCAGGTTTTTATGACTGCTTTTTTTTGGGATTTCGTGATTTTTTTTTTTTTTGAGTCTGTGTATCATAAAGCAATTAAAAATATATTTATAGCTATTTCCGAAAGCCAGTCATAAACATAATCTCGAATTTAATAAAAAATATGTTGATTTGGGATATTCTAATGGGGGAGAACAGTGGCAATTGTAGATGGAGATAGATGACTTTATTTTTTAAACTCCCTTTTTAGGAAAAAAGTCTTTCTAGTTGTGATTTTTGATCTAATGGGGATTAAATGAAACGCTAGAAACCGGAAATGTTTCAAATGTCGTATTTGAATGTTGTAATGGCCTATGACAGGTCCACGTCTTCGTATAGACCCCATTAAAACGACTTTATTCGGAATTTTTAAGATAACAGAATTTTTAATGGATTTATTTTTTGAAAATTTCCAAATTCGATCCAAATGCAGGGAATTCAAAGTTCGGCCCGGCAGAACTTACTGCTTTTTTTACTTGTTGGATTTAACATATTGTATATTTTTATTTTTAAAAGATCAAAGGCTGTATCAGTCTTTGGAGCTGTAGCTACTAGTTTAAAATGGAACCGTCACTTCAATCTGAAACCGACAGTTCATTGCGCTTATTTAAAAAAATAGTCGAATATCAGAAAAAAATTGAAATATAAAAAACCAATTCGTCTGAATTTCAAATTTTGACCTCAAGCTAACTAAGATAACCAGAAGAGAATACATTGATCAAAAAAATTTAGCGTTTATGCATAGAAAACTGGCCCAAAATTCTGAAAGAGCCTACGGGAAAATCTCAAAAATGACATACATCTCAAAAGTAATAATAGCGCATAGAACACTTAAGAACACCAAAGAAGTGCTAATGTTTGATGATAACAAAATCTCTTAAATTTAAACTTTGACGTTTAAGCAATGTTATTGAGAAACAAATATATGGAGTAAATTTTGAAATTTTTTTTTTCAAAAATCTATGTTTTTATCACTAAGTTTACACAGCCCTCCTTAGATTTTATCTCTACCATTCATTAATAATCCATATGGTCTGACACAATTTGAAAACATTTTGTCATTTCGTCATGACAAAACCACAAACCCACAAATCGTACAACAAATTGCATACGGCGAGAGCGGAAGAGAGAAACAAATGTCAATAGAAGAAAAAAATTAACATCAAAGAGATTAATCACAATTCGAAATGGATATCAGAAACACTGTCAGGCCCCTCTCTCCCTTTCCCGGGATTTTCAAATAATTCTTCATTATGTACCTACTCTCTGCTCAGTGAGTGTTAGTTAATAATCTCGTGCACGATAACACTCGCCAGATATTAAATCATTTTCATGCAACAGCACAAAAACACTAGAAACAACCAAGGCAGCAAAAGTCAATGTTGTGAACAATAACAAGAACAGCAACAACATCCAAGCAAAAGAAAAAGCAAACAATCATTTGTATTAATCACTCATACCCACCGACTCTGCGTTGGAAACCCGCATAAATTAAGACATTTCACTTCATTTATTACAACAATGCAGAGAGCCAGCCTGCCACCCATCGAACATTAAGAAAGAGAGAGTGGTGAACAATGTAGGGAAGAGAGCAACATAGAATGGCATAAATTGTAGGCGATTATACGTTGATGATGATTTTTTTAAGGCTGTCAAACGTTTATCAACACGACAATCATCAGGCCATTGACTAAGTCAACACCCAGCCCAACAATGCCTGGCTGCCGGAATGTCTGTTGTTTTGCCAGAACAATGCGCGCCTTGCTTGGTTAGCCTGGTCGATGTATGATAATAATAGTTGATATGTATTGGCACAGGAGGAGGTGTGGGTAGAGGGAGTGGAGAGGTCGTCTCCTCGCTGAGTGATGGGAACTTTGTTTTGAATGTTTTCTGTCATTCATAATACAGAATCTAATAAACGAATAAGCAGAATTGATATTGGATCCAATAGGCAATAATTTCTTGGTATTACAATCGTAAGTGCCCAAGGTGACAGTGAGGAGCAAAAGTGATCACAAAAGAACGATACAGGATTTGTTATCAACAAATAATAATAATTCTCTCTCACAGCCTGGGAAATTATTTTATTAAGGACCTCAACTTTAATTCCATTGGAAATCTATATGGTACGATCATTTACAGGCATTTTCATTTCCAAAAAGGGTATCTAGACCTGGATTTCTTTGAATTTAACCTTGTAAAACGTAGTTGCATAAAAATAGTTTCTCATCTGTGATATGTCCATATACACGGTTTTATATAAACATAATTTTGAACAAAATATAAAACATGTTAGTGCATAAGGCTACCTTGATACAAAAGGTCCTTTTGTGTGAAAAGGACTTCCTCTTAAAGGTCATCTGCACAAAGAAGACCTCCATAAGGACTTCTATGTAAAGAGAATGTCTTATGAATTACCTACTGAACGTCTCCTTGTGACCTCCTTCGACTTTTCTATAAGTCGCAGTATTCCTTCAGGTCTTTTATGAGTAGAAGAATCTCTGAAAGCTTATTTTTAATTTAACCTCCTGAGGGCTTTGCACTTAGAGAATACCTTCAATTGGTCATCTAAGTTAGAAAAAAATCACTAAAGTATTCTAAGTATAGTAGACCTCCAGAAGCTTTCCTGTGTAAAAAATAGACCTTCTGGAGAGAACTTGAAGACTTCTATATCCTTAAAAATTATCTAATGTGAATATTACCTCCAGAAGGCATTCCTGATGGTTTTTCATGACTAGAAGACCTTCTGACGGTCTTCAATGACTTTTAAGACTTATGTGAAGAACATCTCCTTAGGGTCTCCTATGAGTAAAATACCCCTCGATGCTATTATATAAGTAGAAGACCTCCAGACAGCAGATATGTATAAGGTCTTTTCTGTAAAAAAGAGTTCTTGGAAGTCGTCATTGCGTAGAAGAGTAAAATATGAGTAAAAAATCTCTTTATAATATCCCATGAATATTAGATCATTTCCTTTTTAGGACTGCAAAGCTATTAATAGAGGACCTCCTCAGGGTCCTTTCTTTATAATAGTCTTCTAAAGTCTCATATCTGTACAAATCCTCGATAGGGTCTAATATTTCCCCTAAGAATCTTCTATTAATACAACACCTTGATAGTATATTTGTTAAAAAAAATCCAGGGCCCTTTGAGTATCCAGACTTTATGTCGATGCTATTACGGGGGTCCAATAAGTATTTCTTTTCATCGTGAAATACACCCCAAATTTCAGAAAAGTAGCCATTTCTGAAGGGCACTAGGCCCCTGCGTACGCCCTTCGGACTTTCAATGTATAAAATACCCTTTTAGGAAGACCTAAATATTGTCTTATGAAAGTCCCCTCGACGTTCGGATATTGAAAAATTTGCTGGGTAACTGTTAAATAAAAAAATGTATTAATTGAGGGAAAAGCAGATAAAAATATTAAATTTTGAAGTAATTGTGGCCAGTTGTCGGGATGAAATTTCAAAATAAAAAAACTCATTTTCTACACAATTTTGCCCACCACTGTAGATGTTATGTTAACTTCGTTTTGGCATATTACAAAGAATTGCGTGTTTATTGTAAATAAATCATGTATTCAAATTACAAACGAATAGACTCCTCAACGCTGTTGCAGAAATACAAATAACAAATAAATACGGCAAAAGAAACACTTTAAATTCCACTTGTGTGAAGTTCTCACATCATTTGAGTCGAACGAATTATTGTTATTATGGAATCAATAAAATATAAATATCAAAATGTTTTTCTATTTGCCCTAGAAGACAAAGAAGCCGGGCACACCCACCCAAAACCTACGAGACAAAGCATACAAATGGGTATAAAAATTCAAAACAGACAAATTCAGTGATAATTTTACTAAGAATTTTCTTTGTTAATTTATCAATCTTAAAGAATGTCAGTGACTTTAAGTCTGCCTTTTAGAAAAATGCTCGCACACACACACGCACGCACACAAATCATGATAGTCAAATAATTTATGGCTACACGTCTCCTAAAGAAACCTTCCAAAACCATTCTATTTAGACTTTTGTTTAAACTAATTATGGCAATTTGTTATAATTTTCACAATCGCCTATCTGCCTGTCTGTCTTCGAATATGGCACGCACTCGTAGCTAGATCGGATTCCGTTGTCATTCTAAGCTATTGGCAGAGAGCGAGATAACAGCCGCTGAAGAGGTCAATTTCATTTACACTCAACACTTCATTCGTTTTGTATGTCGTCGCCCATCCTCTATCGCCTGCGACTATCTGCGCTCAAATCTAGTTGTTGTTGTTGATTCCCGACTTTAGTAGGAAACAATTAATTAAAAACTCTGTGGAATTACATTTTAAAAATTATGTATTTTTATTTATTACATGGGTTTACATTAAGCGGAATTGTTCTGGAGTGTCCGATTGGTATGGTGTGAGTCAGGCAAATTTATTTGATCGAATTCGTAGAAAACAAATAACTAGGGCAATTTTTAATCAGAAATGAATTATTTAAAAAAAAATATTCAAACTGGAGCTATTGTTTAATGGAATGTATAGGCTTATCTTATCACGCTCCCCAGACTATGCAAATCCTGAAGATAATTACACAGACCTCATAAATATATCGTTAATTTGGCAAAAGGGTGTTAAGATTGACCTTTCCTTTAAATTAAATTCAGAAAAGACTCAGTTTAGCCGGGCCGAACTTTTAAAGTCTTTAGGTACCATTTTTAGGACTTAAGCGTATCTTCCACCCACGAATATATAATCGATTGTATTCCCACATGAAAACCAAAATTTCATTTTTTTCTTAAATTTTCAAAAAAATGTTTTAATAAAATTAATAAAAAAAAATCTAAAGTAACCAAAAAAAAATATCACAACACAAAATCACTCTCATAGTGCGACGCATTTGTTCCATCACCCGTAACTCCATCACTCCGCTATTTTCTCCAGTCTCAAATGAATACCTCCCTTGGCCATCAACACAAATGACTTCTCGTCGAAAACCAGCGGCACAGGGGTCTTTGGTGTCAAACTGAATTTGAAATTTTTCAAAAGCAACGTTAACCCGATCATGGCTTGCATTTTGCCAAATCTCAAGCCAATGCAATTGCGTGGTCCTTCACCAAACGGCAACCAGGACATGGAATGGCGTTTAGCTATTTCTTCGGCAGTGAAGCGTTCCGGTATAAATTCCGAGGGATTTGGATAGTTTGCTGGATCGTGATGGATGGCATCAATGGGTATGACGAGAACAGTGCCTTTTTCTATGACATGCTGGGTGCCTGGTACCGGATAATCAGCCAGGGCTTTGCGTATGACCAACGAAGCCACCGAATATTTGCGCATGGTTTCTAAAATACAATTATTTTTAAAATTTGCCAATAAAATATTGAGTTTTTTTCACCCCCTTACCATACAAAATTTGTTGCAAATATTTCAATTCCTTGATCCCCTCATAAGTCACCTTGTTGTCATACTTGGCCAACATCTCATTAATTTCCTGCCTTGCCTTATTCTGCATATTATCATTTCTGGCCAATTCATACAAAGCAAACGCCATGGTACTGGAACTAGTCTCAAAACCCGCCAAAAAGAAAACAAAAGCCTGGGCCGCTATTTGTTTCAACGTCAGGCCATCCTTGCCATTGCGATTTTTCAAATCAATCAAAATATTCATAAAATCATTTCTTTCGATCTTCTCTCGCTCACGGTACTCCACAGTTTCTCGCACCACTTTCATGAAAAACGAACTAACATCCTCGGGTATAAAGCAGATACCAAATTTCCGAGCCAAATTCGGAAAGGCTTGGGCAAAGGCAAATACCATGCGGCCATGGCGACGTTTGGTGAACACCTTTTGGCCCATTTGACGGAATTTGGCATTGGGATCTTTAAGGCTGTTGCATTCCAAACCAAAGGCACAACAACCTATCACATCCGTGGTGAAACGGGCCAAAAGCTCTCGGATCTCAATTCCCTCTTCGTTTTCACTCTCCAGCAATTCACTGAGCACCGCCACAAATCGCTCGCCCACCTCCACCACAGTGGGAAACATAAACTTCATTTTACCCGACGTAAATGTGGGTGTCAGCTTAGTTCTCATTTCCTTCCATTTGGGTCCATCCAACTGGAACAAATGGGCCGACAGTGGATCGTCTTTCTCGTTGTAATAACTCCCGCGATGTGAAAAGTTGTGGAAATCTGTTATCATTACCCGTTTAATTAGCTCAAGGTCGAACAAAACAATGGCCTTTCTCAGACTCAAGTAGAACCCCCCAAAGGGGGCCATATCTTTGTATTTCTGATAGAAGTCGTGGAACGGCTGTTTCAGAGGCTGTGTTCTGCCCGCCGCTTTCATATTGCCATAAAACAAATCAGGTTTGTCGTGCACCACACCGCGCTCCGTCCAATAGTTGTAATGTTTATGGATGGCATATAGACACAGTGTCATCAGTGCGATGAGTGCACAAAGAAGAAATTGCAAAAACGTCATCGTAGTTGTTCGTCCAGTGGGTACTAAATATGGGAGAGTAACCAGCCAACAGCCGCGCACCAATGAATACTGAATGAGTTCGGAGAAAATCGCTATACTTTATAGACTAGCTGAGAACGTAACGTGGATGTGTTGTTTGTGCTGCTGGGGCTCTGTGTTTCTGCCATAGAAAACAGAGAGAAAGATACGATCTTGCAATTCTGGATAAACCAAAGACAGGGTTGCCAATGTTTAGAAAATAACAAAACCCGATATTTTTTAGAAAAGTCAAATACATTAAATATATATAACATATTAAATCAGATATAAAAAAAGGAATGTCTTCCACTAAAATATAGTTAAACAAAATGAAATAGGGTTGCCCATTTATTTTTGGGCTACATTTGTGATTTTTTATTCCGAAAATGTCAGGCTTTCCGATGAATAAATCTGGGAAGACCATGGTTTCGGATAGAGTTACCGATATCATCAGTTTCCCAAGTTGTTTTTTTTTTTTATGGGGAACATATATAAATACTTTTTGCTAGCCTACTACGTAACAAAAACTCACAATACTAAAATTTGACAAAATTTTATGGAAATATGACTTAAATAAATAATAAAAAAAAATAAAAACGTAAACACAGACTTTTCACATGTAAATTATAAATTTCGAGTGAAATTTTCTTAAAAACTATTAAACCTAAATATATGATTTATTCCGAGATTTTTAGTGAAATTTTGTGTAGAATATTTCTTATTTTGGAACTTTCTGCCTAAAACGAAGTTTGATGCCACTTTCATACATCAACTCGAAAAAAATCGGAAGAAAAACTGATAACACAAAATTGGAAAAGATTTTCGCGTTTTCTAGCATTATTGATTCAAGTATTTGAATGATAAATAATGAAAATAGAGATTTCTTTTCTTTGGGAACTTATAGTGAAAAATGATGACGAATAATTTTGTCGTTAACGTCATCCTTCTAAATTAATGCTTTGTGGGAATATTTTGCATAATTTCACATAAAGTGCTACTTTATCCCTAAAATGTGTGGTTAAAGATTTATGAATTCCTGGCATTTGGGTATGGTTCAGACTTTGGGTATATTCTAGAACCTATAGTAGAATTTTATGACAAATAATTTTCTAGAATATTTTGACTTTCTACGATCCCGCTTAAGGCGAGTTTTTAATCATTTTCTGAAAAAGGGCCAAAAGACAATAATTTTTATAAAAAGGGTCAAAAGACACCTTTTAAGTTAAAATTTTTAAACACAACAATTCTTAAATTGTTATCAGAAATATTGAAGAAGATACTATATTCCACAAACAAACGGATTCCAAAAAAACGTTTTCCAAATATTACAACAAATCTGGAATACGGGGAATTTTACCCCCATTTAGATTACTTTGCGATGTAAACTTTCAAAATGCAGATACATGTATCTTTGTAAATATAGTGTTATATATTGACTATCTTTGTGAGTGGATTAAAAATTATCATCAAATGTATTATATTTCATACATTTGGCAACCCTGATAGAAAAAAGTATATTTTATTCAATCAAATTTCTAATTAACTTTTTCTCCTCTCTTTTCTCTCGTTTAATTACTTTTTCTCTCCTCTTGTCTTTTGTAAGCTTTCATTGCGTTTCACAGCTAATGTTTACGTTTGCTGTTGACCTTTACCACGACTTACTGAATATACATTGGCGTTTTTATCACCTCGCCGCAACTCACTCACTCGCCAAACAGACATGGATAATTTATTTTTGTTTACACCCAAATTATGCCGAGTCATTGTGATCAGAGTGTAATTACGAATATGATCTAAATTATATCTTTACGCCTCTTGCAGTTAATTGAGGCATTAAAATGCGACATTTATTTTTTATATATTTTTTTCAAGATTAACAAAAAATTTGATTTTATAATAGAAAAAGGCATTAGCGAGGCTATATAAAACAATTGTACACGGCTTGTGACCTCACCAAACATTTATATTAAAAATATCTTGAATTTGCAAGTATGTGAGGTTCTCAATTTTAGTTAATTTTTAATTTAGATTCCCTACGTTTTTCTTTGTCTGATCAATGGGTCCAAGAAAATATCTGATTTTCAATTATCATCACGGACGCATTTGTCATAATTCCTAGGAGAGATTTCGAATACTAATATTAATTATTTTTTTTTTATGATTTTTAATTATGAGTTATTTACTTCAAAATAATTATCAAATTACTGCCACTCCATTAGCGTAAATTAGAAAAATGCCATAAATTCTTTAAATTCCAATCATTTAAAATGTACGCACCAAAAAAAACACAAATTCAAAATCAATTCAATAAATTTCATTGTTTGAAATTTCAATTGCATTCATATGCATTTATTAGTTGTAATACAATATTAGATTGTTATCCAAAAAATGCCTGAAACAATATCAGCGATACTCCATAAAGACAATTTGAAAACAATTTCAATAATTAAAATTCTATTAGACACCTCTCAACCGCAGCGAACTACGCGTGCACACACACACACGTACACCTGGCATCGATAATAATCACGCTAGCCAAATGTTGACCAAAAATATTTGAAAGTGTAGATATGTGGTGCGTTTGGGGTTTGAAAACTTGATTTTTTTTCGGCAAATCTAAAACCCACAATCTCCCCACCTCGCCACGAGTTTGTGTGTGTGCGTGTGCATAATGTAAAAGCATCACTAAAACAACATTGTTGCATTAGTTATAAACTATCAACAAAAAATAATTAAATTAAAATCAAAAACTGTTCACAAAAACCTCTGTTCAATATAAGTTTTATATAAAATGTTTTTGTTTCCAGTTTTTTTCTCCTTTTTTTGTTTTTTGTTTTGGAATTAACAAAATTGCAATTTGTAAATTGTAAATATTTTGTCTAAACTTAAATCAACACACACACAATGTTTGTATATAGATTGTACGTGTGTATGTGTAGAAAAATGTGTCAGTGACAAATCGCACTCAAACAAACATGGCCAGATAAGCGATCAACGTTCTGTTTGTTGTTGTAACACCATCGCCACCACTTTAAAGCTATTAAATTTAATTTGTTTTCATTTTTGGTTTATTATCAACAAAAAAACAGTTTGAGCAGCATTGATGGAGAAATGCTGTACGCCAGGAGATATGTATGTACATATGTTTTTTTATAGGTGTCAATAAAATATATTATTATTGTTGTTGTTATTGGTTTTGAGCGAAAATAGGGTTTCTGCGAATGTGTGTATGTGTAAGGTATTATTAAAGCTTGTCATAAATTTAATGGTATTTAAATTTTAATGGAGAATTTAAGTAGCCTGTAGTTGGTATATTTTTTAAAATCCGTCCTGGAAAAGAAAGAAGCGGTATTAAGTATTACGGGAATTGTTTTTTAAGAAAGATATCCAATATTGACAGGGTGAGAACAAAAACTACTAGGTCAAACGATATTATTTTTACTTTTTTTTAAATTTTATTGAATGAAAGCAAACAATTTCGGAAATAGCATCAAATTTAAGAATAAGAATAAGATAAGATTTGTTCGAATTGGTCACCTTTGGCACGAATTATGGCCTTCAAACGGCCAATGAACACGCTTCCCGAATCATGCGCTGCGGCATTTTGGTCCATTGCCTGCGAAGCGCTTGGTTTAGGTGATCCACACTTTGGTATTTTTTAGTGCCAACCTTGCTTTCTAAAATACTCCAGACACAATAGTCCAACGGATTGGAAATTGTGCGCTGGAAATAAGGAGAGCAACCTCATTTTGTAACCATTCTTGGGTGGGGCGTGCTGAGTGCGATGGTGTTGAGTCTTGCTGGAATGTCCAAGGTCTGCGGCAAAATTTTTGCGTGCCAAAGACTCCCTCCCCCAGAATATTTTTGCGATAATATTCGGCATTTATTCTGACACCACGGTCGATTAATACGAGCGGAGAGCGACCATCGTCTGTTATGGCGACCCCCACATCATCACCATGGCCGGCGCTTAAGTTCTGGTGGCCAACCGAAGGTGCACTCTTTGGCAAGTACACGAACGGAACATATACGAGACACAAAAGACTTATTCACATTTAAATGCTGGAGTGTTCTAACGATAGCCACTTGTGGTTTTCAAGCCAAATAAGAAGAAATCACACTATCACGCTTGATTTCCATCACGAATAACTTTTGTTCTGGAAAATTCTCAGCAAAATGCTTTTGTACGCTAGTAAACGATGTAATGAGCTGTCATTGGAATCATTTTAACAGATGTCGGACGAGTGGCTTAGAAATAACAGCAGTCTGAAGTTGGTTGCAGTTTTTTCATCTCACCCTTTATACCCTATCCAAAGGTACTGAAGTTTTTGATATGTATTTTGCAACATTTTGAAAATTTATTTACCTTGCCCCCAATACGGCACGTGTCTTTTAATTTGAGCTCTACTTTCATTATCTGCTGGATTTTCCCATCATTTATCTCTCGAAATTTGGACTGTTAGTTAATCAGTATCAACATATCACATAAAGTAGAGCTGGATGAAAATGTTGGTCAAAACCTTTTAGTTGTCATTTCAAATTCCCATTTATTTCTGGAGAAAATTATACAGTTTCCTACCATTTTTTAATAGTTATTTTACACAAAACTAATTTCCATGAAAACTTTAAATAATTCAATAAAATTTTCCTTTACAAGGATTTCCCTACTTATTTCCATTAATTGATTATGTATTAACCCACAAAAGCCTACCCTTGTCAGCCGTCAGGCTAAACTGTCCTTATTTACCTTAGCATTTGTTACAAATCGCCACAGAAATCCTTCGGCGAAACATATGTTTAAGTTAGCTTCTTTAATTTAGGTATTTTCCCCCATTTTCCTTTTTCCTGCTTCGCTTTTAAATCAACCGAATTCTGCCTTATTTGCCATGGCATAAATTCCTTTAGCCATAAAATGAATAAAGCCACAACAGCGTCAGCAGCATGTCAGGCCAGTCCAAGACAAACAGCCAAACCAACAAACTTTGAACAATAAAAGGAAAAACAGAAAACGCCAACCTAAATACCTACCAAGTGGGAGGGAAATTGTGGTCTTCATTATAACCAT